CTCCAAAAGAATATTAATATCCGAATATAACTGACACTTTTGACAAATGATTACTCGATTAAGTGCTTTATACGTGTCATTACTATCGTGAAATGACAAATTCATGTGTAAGAGGTATTTAAAAGTCAATAAAATGGTGTTATTTAAATGTACGTTTTTAGGGATCTTGAGAGGATTAATTGTAACCTTAAATTTTAAAATATATAAAAGATCATACTTTCATATGAACTATCGTCACAATCACGTTTAATAAAAAATGTAAAAATAAAACTTTACCACAACAGGGTTCGGCTAAACACGACTGCAACATTTCCTGTAACGCTTTTATTATTGGCTCTCTCAATATCCATTAGAGAAAAGCTTTTAAGGGAAATAAAATTGTTAGCTAAAATAGTATTACTGTTTGTTTGTACAGAAACAGAATCGAATAGTATTTATAAAATATGTATTCATGATCTGATTCAAGCAATAAAAAATAAGTCATATTTTAATACTCTAAGTTTTTCGTCTAACCGATAGGCATTGTGCTTAGGTGTCCAAGATAATATTTCTAAAAGTAACCTTTCTAAGGGTTATACATATATAATTCATTCTCGATGTAGGCCATGGATATTTTGTGATGAAGCTATTTATTCCGAATAATATAATTCATTAATTCTAAGTTAAAAATACTATAATGAGGTTAATTTTTATTGAGTTTTCAATATTCTGTTACATCTGACATGTTACATCTGACACAATAAAAATTGAACATTAACGTAAGTTTTCATTGGTATACAAAAAAAAATTAGCTTAAAATACCAGTATGTTTAATATATCTTAATATACATATATATGTGTAGGAATATAAGATAAAAACGGATAGATGGATGGGCCATAATTCAAGGCATGAAGTTCTTTTAAACTGAATAATAGTTGAAATCGGATATAATTAGTCCAAGGACCAAATTACAACACCAGAATAATAATTAATTCGTTTTCACAAATTAATTATCCAAAGAGTCAAGGTTAACAGGCTAAGTACAACTAGTGTACCGCGCCACGTCAGAGCCAAGACTCCTGTAGAATAATCGCGCACGTCTTTTATACAGCTAGTAGTGGGGAGAGTGGGGCATCGAATCACGCGCTCGGTGGCGTGATCGGTGCACGTGTTGGTTAAAGTTATGTTTAGTTGGCGCGCTAGTGCCGACATATGTATATAAAGACACATGTGAATATGAAAGAGCAAATTCTAAAAAAGATTTTTATTTATGAATTCTATTCTATTAGTGATCACAACTAGAATTACCTTTTTTAAATATTGACCTTGGATCGGATCCTTGAACTTTAATTGTTTTCTATTATGTTAATAGTAATACAAAAATACTGAGCTCAAGCATGGTAAATTTCCATTACATTGCCGTATAAGATTTACAAAAATACAGTTTAATTTTATAAGAATATTCGGATAGTCATTAATATTGCTAAATAAAGCTCTCAAAACTAACACACACAATTTATGGAAACACTTGGATACATATTGAAATGAATAATAAATGTAAGCAACAAGCAACAAACAACAAAAGAATGTCTGTATAACTGAAATTCAAGAACCATTATCTATTCCCGTTATCCCCCAAATATCTCGTAAAGTATAAATATTATTATCCTAATTTCAGCAAACATAAACATATCGGAGGAAAGATTTTATTTATGATATATTTTTCAGTATAAATATTATTTTTATACATTTTTTCCCAAACTTTATTATGCAATAACTTTGAAAATTTGGAAACAAAAGTTTCGTAATTGCTTGGCAAACATTCACATTTTGAAAATAAAGCAACAAGTTAATTTACAAAGGTAAAGTTTGTGTGTTGATTAATCTATAACATCGAAACGAATTTACTCCGTATATTTCATATTTCTGCATAGCTCCTTATGTCAGAGGGTCCATTAGATTTGCCATGCTGGATATCTAGAGGTCTTCATCAATGAAAAGCATGCTCTCACTACCCAAAACTTAATTGTATTCAGCCAGCATCGCAACAAAAATCTGAATCATACTTAGTGAGAGTATTTCTAACTTCTTGAACAATATGTCAATCAAAGTATATTATTAACATTTCTTGAGACCATTTTAACGTATCAATTCTTTACCACAAGTAGGTATATAAAGACTTTATTGTGACTATAGCATAAGAAAACAGATACGTACCTTAGGCAAACGAAGAGGTAAGGTGGACAAGACAAGGCATTACATACATCTTGACAAACCTCAGATATATCGCTTGTGAAGCTTGAAGAATAAGAATATATTCCATACAGCTATTGAAATATAAAAGTAATTGGTAATTTTGATAGAAATTTGGCTGGCAATTACCTAATACTGGGCTACTCTATTCGAAAATATTAAATCTCATGTCCGTCACTACACTATTAGATCTTGAATCATATTTCCGGGTTCCTTGTGCGTCTAGTATCTAAGAAACTTAAGAAAAGTTTTTCTTTTAATGGCAAAAAAACGAAGCCAGTTGATAAATATCTCGTCTGACGATGAATTCAGTTACTACATAGCAATAAAATAAAGAATAATGGTATACGTGAGATTAAATCCGTGAATCAAATTTTGTTTCAAGTCAAAAATACCTATAAATTTTATTTTTTATTTCTTCATTCACAATAAATAATGAAGTAAAATTTGCATTAGAATTATTAAGGTCAATAATTCAAAAATATTTAACTATTATTATAAATAAAAAGGTAAGTAATAGAAAGAAATAGACCTAACTCTGAAAATTTATAAATCAAAATATTAATAAAACAGGCAAACAAATTAAAAAAAACATTTGTGGAGAAAACAATCACCTTTATACTTTAAAAGATTTTTAAATATATATATACGTTAAAATAGTTGTGAATAATAATAATTATAAATGGAAAGATTTAAAAGGTCTTCTATATAAAATAAAAGTTAGATTGCATAACTAGACAATGAAATAAGATTAAATAAGATGAGCTAGATAACTTTGAAAAGACTTAACCTTTCTGTGCCTTTGTCTTGATAGTGTAGTATACCTCGTCTAGAATTTTCAAAGCTAAGAAACAATAGCGCAAGCTCTATGAAATAAAATAGCTAAAATCATATAAGATATTATAAAAGATTCTTCTTTTATGACTAATTTATGTAATCACTTCTCTATTAAAACGATTTTTCTATTAATGTTAAAAATAGTAAAGTTGGTACTTTGGTGTGGGTCGAGCTGAAATTGTGTAGGTTTTGCGTTAAAATTTTTTTTGTGAGCCATGATATAATTTACTTTCGTACTTAATTATTTGAAATAGGCGAACTCGATAGAACTTTTAATATACCGACAAACCCAAGAGTATAATTTATATCAAATTAAAACCTCTTATATTATTATTTATTATTTTAATATTGAAAATTAAATTTATTTAAATAAAATAAAGTGTTATTAAAATTGACGAATGCACAGAAAATATATAATACAATAATGAAAAAAACATATAGTACCATGAAAGATAAATCCAACATGTGACAAAAGGACTTTTTATTATTTACAACGTTATTCTTTTAGTCTCTCCTATATCTTTTTGGAGGTAGCAATTTTATTTAACGTCATATTTTTTACTTTTTGCTTTCAAGTATGAACGTTTGATACATACATATGTATGTATTTATTGGATTATCTTGAAAAAAAGTATTTACTTTTACTACTTTATTATGATATTATGATTAACTTAAATTCAATGATAAATAACTTAAATTGAATGATGCTTTTGCGGCTGAAACCAAAATATTTTTACATATATAAATATAAGGTATCCAAAAATTAGATACACACCTTTCACTTTGAAAATTAATTGTTTCATTTAAGACGTAAATATATGTATATTATTACAGGCACGGAAGAGATATCATCACGCAGCACTTATGAAGCGAAAAATATGTTTGACTCCAGATTTCACGTGTGACGACGACATGGAGGAGCTCAATGTGGTTTGATATTTTTTTATGATATAGATTTTTTATTAATAATGTACATAGAATACTACTAAACAACTGTAAAACTGTAAACAACTTGTTACCTGCATTAAAAAAATATTTATTGTGAAATAACAGTGATTTAAAATGAAAATGAACAACAGATCTGTTCTAAATAGTGTTAGATTAGATTGAATTGTTGCGAGTATTTAATAAGAGATGTCAAATTAGTATATGAATATATTATGAGGAACCATATAACTTGAAACACGACTAAAATCAACGCAAATAAATATTTTGTTTATTTCCAAATCACATATATCAATGTGAATCATTTCTTCAAATTTAAATTAGCTTTTTGATCCTAAAATACTAAAAATCTAATCTTAAGATAATAAAAATCATAGAAATAAAATTGCTATTTAGCATTGACTTTGGGTTTAATCTTAAACTATCAATTATGATGCTAAAATGAAAATTAACAAGGAAACTATGTACTTTTAAAGAACTATTACTTTTCACACAATTGCAAAAGCTATTTCTATATCTAATATTAGATAATAATATGGAAAGGGTGATGAATGATGTATGGTAATTATGACTTCATTCTTGATCCTAGAAGCTAGAATTCTAGTGGATAAAGATTTTTTAAACCACATATTAAATAAAGTAATTATTTACGTTTAATATATGTATATTTTCTCTTTTACGAAGAGTAAAAACCGAACGTATATTTTACTTGTAGATGTATATTTTGACATATTTTGCCTTTTGAATAACATTTGGATTTTTTTTTATTAAATCTTATATACTATATATTAACCATAATACATATATAAATCATAAAACTTTATTTAAAGTTCAAAATTTAGTATGGAGTCGAGAATGGAAATTAAAGAAAATATTAGTTTATTAACGAATTGTACTTGTGCATACTTGAACATAATTATTATAAAAAAAATAATTATATTATTTTAATACTAATGGAATATGCTATGAATTATAAGGTACATCATCAATCCTCATCTTCCTCATTTTCAAGATTCTCATCTTCCTCAGTTACAGCTGTGCTTAAGACCGATGGTAATGTAAGCGTCTCTTTGCCTTCTTCGTCTATTCTTGCTTTATGTATTTTTATAAAATCATCATGGGCGTTCAATGCTTGTCGCCTTTCTTTGCCTTCAGCTAAGGTATTTTCCCAAGAAAAATCTATTTTATATGGATGTCTACGAACTGTTACATTTGCTGTATTCTTTAAATTGTCGTAATTTTCTAAATAAGACCTCTTTAATGTTTTCTTGTTATCACCTAGGTAGCTCTTTTTTACTTTAACTTCTTTTTTAATAGCTTCAGGAAATAATATGGCTACGGTGTCATTGAAAATAGTTTTTTGATTTTTCATAATTTCAAGCATTCTGCGTTCCTTTTCTAACCTTTGTGCTTCTAATTCTCTAAGGGGTTTTTCATGTTCGATAAGTTCTGCTCTGTTTATTCTTTTCTTAACGGCTATAGTTTTTTCTATAAGCTTTTGAATAATCTTTTGCCATCTTTCTTCTGGACCTAATACTTTTAATTTTTGCTGCCGACGTGCTTCTGCTTCTTCTTCCAGTTGTTTTTCCTCTTCCTCCCTTAACTTTCGTTTTTCTTCTTCTTTAATGGCCATCAGTTCTCCCTCTTTTCTTCTTATTTCTAATAATATTTCTGGGTTATTACGCATCCATTCTTCTTGCCACGAAATGAAAGTTTTCAATACTTTAAGTTCCCGTATTATCATGCTTTCCATTCGACCTATATAAGTAGGATTTTCAATCATAAATATTGGGGGATATAAAAACATCCTGAATGATCCATTTATGTCACTTACTCCAATAATATTTTTAGCTATTGGTAAAGTGTGTAAGCTTACACTAGTAAGCATATTTCCTGATAAAGTTTGCACGGCTATAGGTAAATCGCTTCTAAGAAGTAAGTCCCAAGTTTCTAAGTCACCCTCAGAAGTAGTTATAAATAGTAAGCTTGGTTTATATAAAGACCAAGCACAATCTGTAAGCCTTGATGGACGCTTTTTCCATATTAAAGGTCTATCATTAAGTTTATCAGACCAAATAGCAAAAATTTTACCTCCAACAGTTAATGTTATATTATTAATAAACGGATTTTTCTGACAACGGGATATAATACCATCATGTATGTGACAACTAAATACTATATCACAATACTCCGAGTTAACTATTTCACCAGTATTGAATTCATGACCTTCCCACGTAACTCTAGCTAATTCACCGTGTTGAGATCCACAATACAAAATTGTATTTATTTCAAATTCTCCTTGAGGGATAATCTCAGACGTGAAGTATTTTCTTCCAGTCCCAGTATTTTTTGGTACATAGGTATATTTTATCACAGGACAATTCATTCCAAAACTTTGTAGTGGTAAAGATTGAGGTTGACCCGCAACTCCTAAAACAATTTTATAACAAGGTTGTAAGTTCCGATCCAAAATTTTAAATGGTGAAAAATCAACCATAAGACCAGATGGTCTTTTAAGTACTCGCTTAGATTTCTTCACTTTTTTTCCTTCAAAAAGTGTAACATTTTCAACAGATAAATTCCAAATTAGTATTAAACCGTCTTCAGACCCCGTAAAAAATATAAGGGATTTTTTATTATCAGTTAATAAATGAGTTTTTCCAGTAGGTGTTACGGAAAAATTTGGAGATAGCCAATTAATTGATGTTACAGGTCCGTAGTGACTAGTCATCAAATTACTTAAAACTGTTGATTGAACTATTGTATCATCATGTACATTTTTCATCCAGCCCATATGAGCATTCATGGCTATTCTATATTTCTCTCTTTTTTCACTAAGAACTTCTATTTTCTCAACATTTTCTAATTTATGTTGTATATCCCATATAACTATTTGTCCATTAACACAGCCACCAATTAATATATTCTCATCAAATGGACAAAAAGACAATACTTTTACTTCTCTTGGAGATTCTAGGTATAGCTTGGGTAGTAAACTATCTATATGACTCCATATTAATACAGGATTTAGACCATAGACGGCTCTTTGAATGGGATCCGGACGCGAGCTAAGTGTTTTCATCACTGTTGGGGATCCATCTGAGTAACAAATGGCAACGATACCAGACCACATTGGATGGAACACGGCAGAAGAAATATATTTATCTTTAGCTCTAACGTCAGTAAAACATACGTATTCCTCAAAAGTCATTGTGTCATAAATATCAACAGTTTTTTTAGCGAGTAAATTTGGGTAGTCATTACAATACATATCCATGACGGTATTGAGTTCTATTACAGAATCCATTTCACTTTGTTTATTGTCCATAAAAGTGTTAATTTTTTTTACATAGGAAGCACGGCGCATGCGTTGTAATGCATTTTTAAATGCTAACAAACCAACTTCATCAACAGGCTCCTTAACTGTCTCTTCTTCTTCATCGTCTGAACTTTTTACCTCTTCCTTAATTTCTTCTGTTTTTTCAACAGCTGTATCCCCACCAGCTTCAGTATCCTCCATAGCACCCATTGCATCTGCTATTGATTGGGTCCACATATTTTGAGGGTATTTAAGCACGGTTTGGGCAACATTGTGAACTTTTGGTGGAGCAGCTTGTATCGCGCAATCGACTCTACGTCGGAAGACGTTATTAAATTTCTGTCTGTATGGTGTAAGTTCTATAAAACCATCGCGCACCTGGCTTGTGTCTCTTACTGTAAATTTTTGAGGTTGATATTCTTTAGGAAACTTGGCCTTTATTTCTATTTCTAATAAAGGTCTTGTATTAATAGGTAATAACTCTATTATTTCAGTTTCACTTCCAAGACTTTTCCACGGTCTTGGCTTTTTTTGGACGGCCTTTTCTAGCTTTTTTTCTTGTCTTTTGATAAATCTGTCAGATTGTTGTTTACAATGATCTCTAGCTTCTGTAGTACAACAAACATAAAATTCATCGACGTCAGTAGACTCATCCACAATATACCCCATAAGCACATCTGGTTCTGGATATTTAAGTAAGGCGTCTTTTATTGGAAAAAACTCTGATAATTCACCTCCTACATCAATTGTTTCCAAAATTTTATCTTTACTTACTAACTTCCAGGGATATTGAGCATTAATATGAGTTCCAATCACCATATCTATTTGTATTTGCGTTTCTTCTCCAATTATCACTTTGTAAACACCTTCTACGTCGTACTTAGGTATGAACCTTTTTCTTCTGGGTAATGGTTGTGCAGATGCCATGTTTTCACCCGAAAATTGATCTACAATAATAATATTTCGGTGAAAATATTAACTAAGTTATTTTTGTTTCACTTTTGACAGAACATAAACTAAATTAGTTACGCACTTTGATAGTTATATATTTTATTTTTTTGATAACCAAAGAGATTTTATATATTTTGAAAATATTTTTAATGAAATCGTATTCAAATATTGAGTAAAAGTTTTATTTATTATATATGTAACATGAAGACATTACCTTTTTTTTGAATTTTGAAATCATCGTCTGAGCTAGAATCAGACGTATTGCTCTGAACTTGTTTGAAACTAATTTTAACTTCATCCTCAGAATTATCAGAATCGCTCATTATTATAACTGAAAGAAAAAAACAATAGTGAAATAATAATAACCAATTTAATGAGTCACTGGTAACTACATTAAAATAATTAAATCCTGTATGTATGTACATATTTAACGTAACTTAGAATAAGCAATCAAAAGCACTATCGAAATAGAATAATGTACTTTGTTGTTTTATCAAATATTTGTCTATTTATTGATATATCAATACCATAGTGTAACTTTATTCAAATATTTTTACTTTATTAAGAAAAAACTTATATTTAAAATACAACTGAATATTGTTTTTAAGCACTCATTAACAAAAATTAAAATTATTTTTACTTACAATTATTTTGCTCTTTTTATGCCCCTTAGATACGGCTTTATGCTTTATGGGATACTTTGAACATATATATTACTATAATTTTTTTGGAGGTTAATAATGAACACTAAGTTTGAAATGTGAAACATGCTTGTATCACGCAGCGCATGCGCTGGCAGTGCCTGGTACGAAGCTAGGGGAGGGTAAGGTTGTTCACCCAGTCTTTTGCAGAAATGAAAAAGTACGATAATATAGTAATTTTGTTTTGCAGGCAGCCTTGTCACACAGAAAGGAGTCAGCGGCACCTTTGACAGGAGAAAGATCGGGCATAATCTTCGGCCACGTTTTATCATATCCTCTTGCTGTAGTATTAAGACTTCGTGTTTTACAGGTATTTCAATTACAAAACATTTCAAATTAAATTTTTCAATTTTTTTAAAAATATATTAAAACATTCTATTATATGTACTATGTTTATAAGTAAAACAATAATTTATTAATATTTGTACTTCATGGGCAGTAAAATGAAAAATATGGTTATAATAAATGATACTATTCTTCGATCATTATAATTTAGTATTTAAACACATTTTAGTATTCATTGATATTTCAATTTTACTGAAAATTAAATTGAATGAAGCGCCAATGTTTATTTAAAAGAAAAATGTTGATCTCAACGATCTTATCGATCGATTTAAGTAATGTTGTTCTTATTTAGTAGCCTTTCAAGCCAACATATTTGGGTTCACAAAGGACTAAAAATAAAATGTCGTCGCATAGATTTTTCTATTTTACAATAAGTAAAAATAAATAAATGACTCTATGATATTAACAAACTAACTTCGATTTTCACATCACAAATCTGAATATCAATCGTGTATGGTTTTATATTTGTGTATTATGTAGCCTTTTCCTATGTATAAAATATTTATGTGAAAACAGAGTTATGAGATGCAACAATCTGGCTATTGAGAGTTTAATATTCACAATCTGAAACAGGGCTCGCATCAAATTTATAATTCTCTTTGGTCACAATTCTAATTTATACATCATTCGCTCTATGTATCCCAATTCCAATGTAAGTAATTACAAATGAAATGTATTTATTTTATACATTGCATGTATTTGTTCGATCCTTTAAAAGCTGTGTTCTAAGGAAATTTTAAATATTTCAAACGTATTTAAACCCTCACTTAGATTTTAACCCTATAAATTTTGATGATATCTTTAAATGTTGTCATATTTCTTCTTATAAGTGGCAATAAATTAATGCACTAATAGCATATATGTATTTCATTTTGTCAAAGCGTTCTAAAGTACCAATTGTTGACGTCGTTTTTATGTTAACGATGCATTCTTTAAAAACTGAAACTAGGTCAACTGTGGAAGCTGTATTTCTTATTTAATGTACAAAAATACATCTTAAGTATATGTTATGCATACATACATGGTTGTTATATTTTTGACACGTTTCAAAGCAAAAGTTTATTCACAAATTTAATTTTTACGAGTTAAAAATATAATATTTATAAAGGAAATTATTAACTTTTTTTTCGGAAAAAAAATTATGATGAAATATAAATAAAAATATTTTGATATTTTCAACACAAAGTTCCAGATTATAAAACGATAAATTAAGACTATAAGCATTAATATTTTATATTTTTAATAGAAGTTAATTTATTCCTCACTTATATAAACTTTGAATATCAAATTAAATTAACTATTAATCAAACTCATGTGCCTTGACTACGCTATTCTTATTATCTTATTTTTTATACAAAAAACTACTAAATCATTTATGTATGCTTATATGTAACTTAAACTTAGAAATTTTCATGGTCATCGTATAACTCCTAACGATAACGTTATAAAATGAATTGTTTGATTGCAGATTGTATGTGGGATTTCCACAATGGTAATGGGGAGCGTCGCCTTTATAGAGGAAAGACAAAAATTTAACATGGGCCTTGGAATACCAGCCGGCAGCTTTAGTGTTATAGCAGCTGGTAAGAAAAGAATGTTGGTTTGTTATATTTTAAAACGTCGAGTAATATTAGCCAGTAAAACAAATAAAATATTATATAATATTCAACCATAACACAGTCACTTTTCTATTTGACATATTTATTTGTTTTTTTCCTATTCTATTAAAGACAAATTTAAGATTATATTCCGGGATTTGAACGTTGAATGGCGGCCTTTTAGAAGGTTGTTGACACTAGTGCAGTAACCCTCTGATGGACATGATGTTTGTCTCAATACTTACTTTTTTCTTATTAATCCCGTCATTTAAACGTGATTTTAATTGTCATGTTAAATTAAATACAAATTTCATTGGGTTCTTAAAATAGCTTCCAACCTTTTTTCGTTTCTAAATCGTCCTTTACTATTGTATTACAGCGCTTAAGTCTGGGCTACAAATTGCTTTGATCTGCCAAGTTCTAAGAATATGCGCAGAAAATTTTAATTCATAAAAACAATGGCTATATAAATATGGAACTTTATAACCAGAACTCTTTACTTTTGATTAATATAAATTAAGTGAAAATAAAAATAAACTTATATTTTTATTGATTTGAAATTACTACGTACACAGTATATATCAAATCGTATATACTACAAGTGCATTTTTGCCATAATATACTTTATGTAATTCTTAACAGATTCAGTACAAATCGAAAGAATTCTAACTGACAGAATTAGGTACATCTTGTCATATAAACCAATCTGAAAATAATAATTACCTTATTTCATTTCAAAAAATTCTACATACCTATATCAGTTTAATATTTAGGAGTGAAAAAAAGACATGAAAATAAGAGCCTTTAGTGTTAGTATTTTATACAGCTGTTTCCATACACACCTCTCGTGGGTGGGGTGTCACAAGTGGTACAGGTGCGGGGGCGGCTGCTGCGGTATTATGGGCAGCAACGGGATGCCTTTTAGTTGCGTTGGTGGTACAATGCTTTAGAACTATACTAGATCCTCCAGGATTCAACAACGGGTAAGTAATGGATTGAATCAAGTATTTTGCTTAATTAAACCTATTTACAGAATTGACAACTTTGTTTTTACTTAAAAATCGAAAAATACCCGATTTGTTCACAGAAAAATTCAAGCAAAATTACTCACATGTAACTTATTACAACATTTAGTATAATTGTATTTTTACAAAACTTTTTTTTATGTTCTTTACTAAATTGTAATAATATCTTTGAAATTGTATTTAACAGACAAGATCAAGATGAAGACTCAAGACCATCATCACGAGATCTCGTTGTGATCGCATGCGTGCAAATAGCGCTCGCTGCTGCCACTCTATTGAGTGCTCTTGTGTGCGCAAGAATTGATTTCAGCGCATGACGCGAGCCTGCGGGTCCTCTAGCTAGACGACGTGTCAGCGAGGCCCCATTACCCGCTTCTACTATCGCGTCCGCCCCAAGTGTAGCAGCACCCGAAAACGAACGTGAAAAAGGCGGCCGCGTCGCCTGGCTCATATAAACGGTTAAAGTGAAGTTGGTGATTGTAATTGCAATATCTTTGTATTGGATAAGATAAATATGAGAAAATATTTTTTACAGCATTGACTATTTTGGACAAAGATAGTGAGTGATAAAACGAGAATAGCAGATATGTATAACTTTTTAAATATTTTCGTTCTCTTAGCTTATATGGATTACGTGTTAATACCACTATTCGTTGTTATAATGTTTTCAATGTTAAAGTTATATTTATTGTTATTTTATTATTATATTAAATTTAAATAGCTTCATAGTGATAAAACTAGAAATGTTTTTTATTCAGATATTCGTAATACTAATTTTAACAATCTCATTAAATTCAGTGGTAGATTATTAGTGTTATAAAAAAAATTATAAAGTAAAGAGAATTAATGTGCTCTGTCTATATTATTTATGTTTAATATAATTTTTTTCGAAACTACTATGAATTTTATAAAATTCATGTTGCATGCTGAATAAACATTTGATAATTTATGAATATCAATACTAAGAAGTACCTATATTATCTATTTATTTGTCTACTAAAATCAAATGTTATTTTGTAAACAACTATTTTTTTAACAAATCAATAGAATAAACTGTGTAAAAGCATCTTTTATTTAAAAATTCTTATAGTTCTTTTATTTCCGTACTACTGTGCTAAAGCCCTATACTTTTCAAAGAATTATAGACATCTGCGATGGTAACAACGCGCTGACAAATAAATCTAATTGAATGTAAATTGAGAAATTTTGACTACAGTTTTCATTATGGCAAGCAGTCTTTTAAACAGACTAAATTCTCAACAAGCTTCATAGATACCCTGAAATAACTCGAACAATATTTCGGTAATGGCACCAATGCAAGAGCTAAAACAGTAAAATGATATAATATTTTCTACTTACAACATTTTATTTAAAATACCCATTGAAAAACAGTACCTTAAAGTTATAGAATACAAGCGTTAGATTGGTAAAATACACTATTCCCCAATTAATCTTAAATGAGTACAGACCTATTCTTTTTATTATATATCCTAAAACGTGGAGCGAGAAATTGTTTTCAATATGAATGGATATCAATTTGACAGGGAATTGCTTTTAACGAAACATGTATGTTAGGGGTATTCTAAGAAACTATGGAGCTACAAAATACAATGAATAGGTAAGCTCTTCTACTCACTCGTACTTATTAATTTGTCATATGGACATTACTGATGTTATATTTTATCTCAGAACAAATTATTTTATACAGCTGGATAACTGGTAAAATAGAAAGCTGATAGTGTAACATTTCTAGCTAGCTTAAGTCCAAAAATAATGAACCCTGTCTCGATAAAGGCCTCCCTCACAATTTTATATCTAAAAAGCTCTCGTGGAAGACTCATTTCTACTTTCTTTCTGCTTACAATGCGAATATGAATGTGTTTAAATGATATTAAGATTGTAATATATTACAATAATCATTATAGTAAAAAATAATAATTACATAAGGTTACGGATATAAATATATATATATATATATATATATATATATATATATATATATATATATATATATATATATATATATATATATATATAGTCTGTAAAAACGAAGATTTATTGCATAAACTTTTATACTTACATTTTCTGTATATGGATCAAATTTTTTAAAGTATAAATTTAATTGGATACATGTTATTCCGTTGCACAAATGGCCAGAGGGGAGTTGACTGTCCGCTTGTATGAAATATTTTGTATAAATACGATATTAATATGAAAACAATTCCACAATTGACTTAATTGACAATATATTTTTTTAATACATCTTTTAGAGAGAATTTCTATTTAAATTATAATTTGAAGGTTTTCTTTTATTTCATTTAGATTCATCTACAGTCTATATTGACAGAACAAGTACCGAGCACTTTTCGCGTCTTTATAAACTTGATGTATTCAGTACATTTCTTTTTCTACATCATTGTTTTGTCCATATGAGTTATATAACTTGTATAAAATAGAATTATATTTTTTTATTTGTTACTAATAATGCTATAAAACTAAAGGATTTTGTTGAACACATTTTATGAATTTATAATCACCGATTTAACTATAGTCAAGTTTAGATTTTATTTGATTTAAATTATTTCTAAGTTGACAAATAATAAACTGTTAAATGTTTAAAAATTTAAAGCCATACTATAATTTCGATGAGAAATATGTAAGTTAGTGAACATTTTTAACAATTATTAACCGCAAAATGGATGAGATAATAAATATTGTGACAATAACTTAAAAAAAAATGTATCTTAATGATAATTTAAAAAGAAAACATTATCGTCACCAGCAAATTTCGACACTGTGACTCTGGAAATAGGTAATCCATTCAAAGTTCGCGATTTGAATATTTTAAATTAACTCCTGTCAATACAATATTGATAGATATATCTTATTCATAGTACTGTCAGACAAAACATTATATTTGACGGAAGCAAAATTTTCCACAAATTCATCGTGAATTAAGCCGTAGCTAAAACAACAATTATATTAGGATGTGTCTCAATAATCAACTGTGTCAGAATTGTGTTTAACCATTACTTATTTATGACATATCTGTGAGATTGACAAAGATCTGAGATTTTCGCGATATATTTTATCTTTTTTTAAGAAAGACCTCACGAAGTAGAAAGAAAAAATATAGTCACACCGTCTACGTTTAAGAAATATTTTTTGAAGTAAGCATAAAGAATTAAAATTTATATCCTTTCTACTAGTAACATTACAATATATAATATTTATCATAATACAACAGTACTTAAACACGAACATAATCTTATACATCTATTTTAACTAGATTACTTATATATATATGTATGATATTCGTCAAAATCTACAAAACAAATATAAATTTGACGGTTCACCAGTGAAAATATTGTTTTTTACCAGGAAATTATATTCCAAATTACCCTTAGAAAACATTTTATATTTAAATAAAATGTTTAAATCATTCATTGTATAAACCAGATGGAAAGGAATTTTTTAATACCTTAAAAAATTTAACTTATCAAATAAAATGTTATACATTAACGTATTAAAATAATCTTCTATATATATAAAAATGGATTGCTGTTCCTTAGTCTCGCTAAAACTCGAGAACGACTGAACGGATTTATTTTATCATAGTCTTGAAATATTCGTGGAGGTTCAGGGAAGGTATAAAAGCTGAAAAAAATTGATTCATTACTGGGAAAACCATAAAAACAGCCCTTTTCTATTTCCCATACAACCGTTTTTTCTTTGACATTAGATTTGACAACTAACTAATATGTCAATCATTTTGTCGCACTTCAAATTATGGAGATTCATGGCTTAAAGCTAAACACCAAAAAAATAAATAAGACATAATTTATTTCTTGATTGAGGTAGTACTTAAGTCTGCCGGGTCAGCTAGTAACATATAAATAAACAAGTTAAAAAAGCTATTAAGCTTTTTGATGAAACTAATTATATTTGTTAATTATATAGTAACATCTTTTTAAATCTTTTCCTAAAAATTAAAATCTAAAATAATCTTTATCTTATATATTTACATATTCATAAGTATGAATAAGTAACTTAAATAAAAAGTATGAAATGATACAAAGTTATGACATAAAATATTCTAAGTCGTGGTTATTAAATAGGTTTACAGCAAACTCGTTATTGTTTGACGTTGTTCGTGTCGCAAAAGTGAAAAGTTCATGAAAGCAATCTTTAATACCAACTTTCAAGTCATAACATAACAATAATAGCGAATAAATTGATTAAAATATTTTACGTATTAAAGAAGCAAAATGTTATAACTGCAATCCGTAATAAGAATAAAATATTTTTAACGGTTTTGGGCTACGTTTTCAAATAAAATGTGTACATCTCAGTTTTTCCTCTTGATTAAGTTCACAGTCTTTATAGATTAATATTATTTAATAGCTTGTACCTCTCTGCTTTCCATCTCTCTGCTTACATTCTTTCCACCTCTCCGCTTCATCTTTATTCATTTATACTGATGTACTCGTATTTATACATACCACAAAGACTTCAAACATCGATTGTTGAAATTTTTATCCCGTCTATACCTACGTACCTAAGATATAACGTAACTGGTCTAGCCTCAGTTTACATTTTTCCTATAAAATTAGAAGGATAAAAAATTTCACATACAAATTTACTACATAATTGCCAAAGTATTTAAAATATAACATTAACAAAAATATTTCAAATCCTTTCTCATCATATGAATTAATAGCAAAAAGAATGAAATTAAAATTCTACAGAAATTAATAAATGCATGAATTCGGAACATTGAAAGCAACGAGGAGCCAAACGCTGCTTAGCGAGTTAAATGCGGCCAGCAAATTTTTAATTACGTCCGTTTGAAATGACTTCATTTATCTCCGGAATTTATACCATTAAACGGTTAGTAAAACGAAACTTTCTGGTTAGTTGATATATTTAATATGAACGATAAAATTTAGTTGAGAAGTAAAAATTAATTTTTATTGTGAAAAGACATATTTACTACATATAACAAAAAGATGCAAACGCAATTCTATAAAATTACCCTAGGTTCCTTAAAAACTGTTTTCCAAATGCATTATCACGCTTAAGATTTTGAAAAATATAGAAATGATAAATTCCATTGGGGTCAAAGCTAGAAGAGTGTAAGTACCAATCGACCTTTCCTTTTATTCTATTTTAAGTCCCTCAGACGCAATGTCTTTAAAAATAATAAGTTTGGTTGAAATACTGAAATGAGAATGTTTGGAAAATTGATAACGTATAATCCAATTTTTTATTTACAGTTACAGAATATCTTATCGGCATATTAAATTATTATTAATCA